TTCTCCCCAACACCCCACTTCAACTCTATCTCTGTAAAAATTGTAGAAATGGGCTGGTACTATTATTGTCGAACAACGATTTATGTACATACAATAATGATACAAGCACATATTTACATTCCGGTACGGGACCATATTCTTCTTCTGATTTGTCAATTATAGACTCAGATCTGTGTATTTAATTCGAATGGTCAGTCCATGATGAGGGCAGTATGTTGAAGAGACATTTTAACAAGATGAAACTTTTCAAAAGAGAAATGTTGTCTTCCGAAAATTACACTTAGTCTTTATACTGACGCTTTTGATCTCATGCAATCTTTCCTCTGATGGACTGAATAAAATAGCTGACGCATGTATACTGAACAAGAAAGGTTCCTGTGACACTGAATAAGATTCAATGCAAAGTTATGTTTTTTACCAAATCTGAAACAATTTCGGTTTGCAACAAATAAAAGACTCTGTAAGTGTTCAAATGGTTTAATTTGCCATACCGACTTCAGGAAATGCCTGATTTCATAAAAAAAACCCATGAACATGCCAAAATGTTAATTTACAAATCAATAGCGTGTGTGTCCACCTCTGGTTGCGATGCAAGCAACACACCTTCGTCTCATGGAATGGACCAGGCGTCGCACATATCTCCATATATGTCCATATCTGCCGGAACATGTTTCGAAGTTCCTGGAGTGTCTGTGGAACACATGGTTGACTTCGAAGGCGCCGATCCATTTCATCCCACATTGGTGTGAGATCAGGGGAGTGAGCCGGCCAGGGGATGACATTCACGTTGTTTTGTTGAAGAGAATCCTGAACAAGTCGAGCAATATGAGGCCGGGCGTTGTCATGTTGAAAAGTAATGCTTGGGCCATGACGACGCAAAAACGATAGAACAACAGGGCCGATGATCTCGTCGCGGTAACGCTGTCCATTGAGATTTCCCTCTACCACTATCAAACGGGTCCTCTGTCTTGCTGTAATCCCATCCGATACCATAACGCTGCCGCCCCCGAACCGATCTTCTTCAATGACACAATGATTGACGTAACGTTCACCTCGACGTCGGTACACTCGAATCCCTCCATTGCTGTGGCTGAGGTGAAAACGAGACTCGCCAGTGAATAGAACTTCCCCACTGCATGGCCATCCAGCGTAGACGCTGTCTGCACCACTGTAGACGTGTTTGACAGTGGTTTCCTGTCAAAATTGGACGTCTGGCGGGTATTCTGGCGACAATCCCTGCACATCTGAGGCGGCGACGTACGGTTTGTGCAGATATTCGTTGAAGGCCAGGGATGCTTCTTGCAGTCACTGTTGCTGGCTGGAATCGATTTCGTAGGTGTGTTCTTCGAATCCAGTCGTCTTGTCGATTATCTCTGACTGCATTCGTCTGTTGCCTACGTTGCCATAAACACCAAATGGTAGTAGTTGGGTGCAGTACTACAGGACCGCTCCTGGCTTATGATTGGAAAAGAGGGTCACGTGACCTCTGATGACGTCACTTCCGGTTTCGGTTTGGTCACGTGACTGTGCATGCGCGCAGGGCATGATGCGCTTCCAAGGTGGCGGCACATCCGTTTCCGGTGGCGTGCGCATCCAAGATGGCGTCGCATCCGTTTCCGGTGGCGACGCGCCTCCAAGAGGGCTGCACATCCGTTTCCGGTGACGTGCGCCTCTAAGAGGGCGTCGCATCCGTTTCCGGGGGTGCGCGCCTCCAAGAGGGCGGCGCATCCGTTTTCGGTGGCGTGCGCACCTCCAAGATGACGTCTCATGCGTTTCCGGCGGAGGATTAGGGGAGGGAAGGGAAAAAACCCAGAGAAGCGGTCGTAAAAGGTGAACAAGTGTTGTTATAAATATAGAAAAAGCGGTGGTGGTGGAGGGAGGAGGAGGTGGGTTCATTGTTTGGGTTTGAGGGTCGTCAAAGCAAAGGATGAAAGCGTTCTTTCGGGAGGGATGGGTGGCCCTGAAAAGGGCCGTTTTGAGGAAGATCACTTCTTCACATACACGCAGTGGTGCAAAGGCACGGGTGGCTTGACACCTGTCTCCTGACAGGACACTTACTTGTGTGGCATAGTCGCCGCATGTAGGTGTCCTTCAGGACAGTGTTGCAATAGATGCACTGGAAAGTGCCATCCCGTGCCCTTGTGCCAAGGGCATAGACTGGCAGGCATCCTTGGCACCTGCAGCATTGCCATGGAGGTAGCGATGGCAATGCTGGTGATGTTACCATCTCAGTAGAAACTAGCTCCAAATCTCAGTTTTCTGAGTTCTTCTCCATGTTGCTGCTGCTGCTGCTGATGATTTTTAAAATAAATTTTACAAGTGACACTGATCCACTCGAATTGTTGGTTCGTCAGGCAGCAGCTCCGATTGGTTCGTTCCTGTGCCTGACTTTCATCTTAGTTTTCCAAACTGGACCGACCCCTGTGTTTCTTTTCCATAGGAAATGGATTTTACCATGGCTGAGAAAGCACAACCCCGGTTCGACCAATCAGAGCCCAGCATGGCTCGAGCGCGGCCTCTGATTGGCCGACAACCCAGGCTTCTGATCGGTCAGATTTCGATCCATTTATTTTTTCTTGGGTAGTCTTGATATATAATAGCCACATAAAGAAACTGTGCACGGAGAAAATATAGATATAAGGGCACACCGTCCATATATGAAATATAGGTTTGAACACAGCAATTTTTGGAGACATTCAAACGCTCATGCACGAGCCATGCACGTGCATCCTGTGCAGATGTACAGCATGTGCAACTCAAAATACGCTGTCACTTTGGAAAGCATGATATGTGGTCATTCAAAAATTCAAAACTTCTCAGGCGCAGACACAAGCATATCACAAGCAAATCATGCCAAGATTGACAGCTACACAGCGTCATGAAGCCATGACAATGATCCGAGCGGGAATGAGGCAACAACAGGTGGCAACACATTTCCAATGCCATCGTAACACGATATCGGCATTGTTGAGGTGTTGTCAGAAGACAAAGGACGTTGCCGACCACCCACGTTCAGGACGTCCCCGAGTAACGGCGCCAAGACAGGACAGATGGATTCGAGTTACACATCTCCGACACAGGTTCCAAACGGCAGTAACGACGTCCCAGACAATTCCTGGACTGCGCCGTATCCATCCCAACACTGTCAGGAATCGTTTACGTCAGTACGGGATTCGACCACGACGCCCTGCAATACGTCCCATCCTGACCGTCTTAGATGGTGTCGAAATCATGTTCGCCAACCTCGAATATGGTGGAGAAATGTTGTCTTTACAGATGAATCGAGATTCAACATTTCCCACAGTGACGGGCGCCAACGTGTCTACCGGCGTTTGGGAGAACGTTATGCACGCAACTGTATTGTGGAGAGGAATCGTTTTGGAGGTGGCTCTGGGATGATTTGGGGTGGGATAACAGCACGGCACCGAACCCCTTTGGTGGTTGTTCAGGGCAATCTCACCGGTGTTGGCTACAGAGATCAGATTTTTAGGCCTGTGGTCATTCCTTTCCTGCAACGTCATGGCCCGGGATTGACATTTCAACAGGACAACGCTCGTCCTCACACGGCTAGGGTCGCAATGGATTTCCTTCACCATAACAATGTCATGTTACTGCCATGGCCTGCAAATTCTCCAGATCTTTCCCCAATAGAGCATGTGTGGGATGAAATGGAGCGCCGTCTGCGTCGTCTTCCACATCCTCCAGATAACGTCCGTGACTTGGCACAGGATTTGGGGAGGATATGGCAGGCCATTCCCCAGGCCTTCCATGCCCATTTGGTGGACTCCATGCGTCTCCGATGCACTGCTGTGATTCACGCACAGGGTGGTCATACCCGTTATTGACTTTGTGACTTTGTCGTTTGACCCCTACTCCATTTTGATCTTCTGACGTCATCGTAACAGATGTTGTTCAGGTCCCGTTGACATTTTCTTATGGTCCGATCATTCAGCTGCTACAGCGTCTGCATCATTTTGTTCTTGCTGTGTTGTATTTCAATCCAGAATATATTTTCTCCGTGCACAGTTTCTTTATGTGGCTAGTATATTTTAGGTGGACGGTCGTCTGAATGCTAAAGGTTGACCGTCATAGGTTGGCATGAACGTGATGTGGGAATGCCTACGTGATGTATGTTGTGGCACCCCATGCAAATCGTGATGTCATGTGTGTGTGTCTTCAAACAGACGTTGACGTTGATCCATAGGATTGTGATGCCATGCCTACGTGATGTATGTCATGTTGCCAGGCACACGTGGTGTTTCACACGTGTCTTTATGCAAAACGTGGTGTCGCGCGCGCGCGCGCGCGTGCGTGCGTGCGTGCGTGCGTGCGTGCGTGCGTGTGTGTGTGTGTGTGTGTGTGTGTGTGTGTGCGTGTGTGTGTGTGTGTGTGTGTGACTACAAACATTTATTTAGTACTTAGATGGATAGAGAAAGATCGATAGAAATACGTGACGTTTGCACACGTGATGTACTTCGTGTCGCGATGTGAACGTTGTGTTTCACCCGTGTCTTCATGCAAACGTAGTGTCATGTGTGTGTCTTCAAATTATTATTATTTAATTATACCGAGGTGTTGACACTCGTGTTTGTCGACAGACGTACTGTGACACGTTTTTCCATGCACACGTGATGTTTGACTCGTGTCTCCATGCCAACGTGATGTACTACGTGTCTCTATTTATATATATTTTATATTTTGTTTATTTTGAGACGTACCATGGTGGTGTCACGCGTAGGCGTGTGCCTCCAAGAGGTCTAGTGGGAGGGTGTGGGTTCTTTGTTTTGGATTGTTGTTGTTTGGGTTGGCAAAGCAAAGGATGAAAGTTGTCTTTTGGGTGGGATGGGTGGCCCTGAAAAGGGCCGTTTTGGGGGAAGAAAAACTTTTCTGCTGCTGTCAAAGAAAAGAATCATCATGTCCAAGCTTATGACAAGACAAGGATTGTCGAAGCGGTACTTGCTGCCATCTTGGTAATGGGAAACGCTCTCCTTGACAGCCGGTCATGCTACGCCATTCGTGTTCCTCTGATTCACATTCTCCTTGCAGAGATGTAGCTGTAGCTTCTTCTTGTGTTTCACCAGACCGGTTAGTCTGAGGTAGTCACAGTGCGGGGACCACTTGTGGTGTTCCACCCAAGGATCGTCGTGGCACGCCCATCGTCTCAGCCGCACACCACAGTACACGCCATCGGCACCCTGAGTGTAGACAAAGCCCATATGGCCCATCTCTTCAGCAGTCTGATTCATTTGCGTTGGCCACCTCTCAAACGAAGCGAGACTTCTTTCAAAGCGTAGATAATAGGGCGATGGCGTGTTACTGAGCGGTGACATCCCATCCTCAGCATCCATACTCTTACTCCAACATCCACGAGTATCTGCACTATCCGTCACCACGTCTCCGTCACGCGTCGTCGTACAACTCTTCTTTGTTTCAGCCATTCTTGATGCGATGATGCTTTTTAAAATAAATTTCACAAGTGACACTGACCCACTCGAATGGTTGTTCTCTTGTTTTCTAGAAGAACCGGATCGAAAATCGCTGCTTCTTGGTTGGTCCAAAACGCAACGCACTGATTGGACCACGCTGGTGCCTGGCTGGCACCTCAGTTTTCTAAAACGACCCGACCCTTGCATTTCTCTTCCATAGGAAATGTTTTTTTCCATGGGAGAGAAAGCACAACTCGGCTCAGGTGTTGTCTTCTGATTGGTCGGTGCTGTCTTCTGATTCGTCGACAACCCAGGCTTTGGATTGGTCAGGTTTCGATCCTGTTTTGGGGAAGGGTTGTCTATAAATCAGACGTTCAGTCCATCTTAGAGTACAGACGTTCATCAGACACGCATCGTTATCATGACGAGCAACCAAAGTATGCCCTATCATTTGGAGAGGAAAGATACCACACGCTCCAGACGGTTAAGAACTGCTAACCATACGTATCGTTTGACTTTCAACCCAGACTACTTGGACACCGTACCACCGGACCGCGTTCCCATGGAACTGCCTGCTTTATTTGACAGAGTGATCGATGACTTTTATCAACAGATGTCAGGCCAGAAGGGAGATCGTATTGGTCTAGGTATCGATCATCCCGCTTTGAACACCCCCATACGGATTCCGTTTCGTCGCTTGAAGATCTCCATGGGCTAGATATTTTGCATGCCGTGGAAAAAGTTCAACAGTCCAACAAAGCCCTGAACATCGATGCCACCATGGTTGTGACTTTAGTACATGTAACAGATGCCGACAGGCTAGGATCGGGCAGTGGTGGCCACCATCTGAAAAACGTGATTGGACTTGAAACCTTTTTAACACGCAAAAGGGGTATTGTACGGATCAAGAACGAAGATCAATCCTGTTTGGCACGGGCCCTGGTGGTGGCACAGCATTATGCCCAGAAGCCCCACCCTTTGACCCCAGAATGGGAAACCCAGCGAAAGAGACTGACGAGAACGGATCGCGTCGACGTTCAAGGCATACGGGCACGGGACTTGTTTCGACGCCTCGGCCTGCCTGAAGGTCCCTGTCAGGGCCTCGACGACCTAGCACGCGTGGGACGCGCCTTGGCCCACCTGAATTATCAACTGAAAGTCTACAGTCAAGAGGTGGACCAGAGACTGTTGTACAAGTGTGATGAGGCTCCATCCAACGCCACCATTCTGCATTTATACCATCATGATCAGCACTATGATGTCATCACTTCCATGCCAGCTTTTTATGCGTCTAACCATTACTGCGAACGCTGCGACCAACGTGACGACCTTCCCAAACTTCATCCCTGCACCAAGCAATACCACTGCCACCACTGCCTCTACTCTAGCTATTGTTGACCCAAGGAAGCGCACGGGATCCCTTGCTTGACATGTCAACGCTGGTTCCCAAATCAACAGTGTTACACTCAACATCTCCAGTCACCGTCAGAGGGAAAACCCAGCGCCTGTCAATCTATTCACAGGTGCCCGACCTGTTTTCAGCTGGTCCACGTCTTGGAGACCCCCATGGTTCACCACGAGTGCTCAGATGAAGAACATCCCTGCTTGGTGTGCCGAGAACCCATGACCCAAGGCCATCGTTGTTAAATGACGCCCCTCCGTGAAGAAAACGAGGATGAGGAGGGGGAGGAAGAGGAAGAGGGGGAAGAGGAACAACATCACATACGAGACAACATCCAATACGTCTTCTATGATTTTGAATGCATGCAAGACACGGGGGAACACATTCCAAATTTGTGCGTGGTGCAGTTAGGATGTGGACGATGCATCAGTGAAGTGAGCAAGGACTTGTGCGAACACTGTCCATGGAGAGAAGAAGGGTATGGTCCCCGCCGTGAGATCGTGTTTCGAGGCCCCACCACGCGACATGATGTGTGTGTGTGGTTGACCAAGCTGGCTGAAAAACCCAAGAAGAAGAAGAACCAAGAGGAAGACGAGGGCAGCACACGCAAGGGGACAACAGCACACCTTGGGAAAAGAAAACGGGATGGAACCCCCTCAAGAAAGCACTCTTCAAAACGTCGACAACATTCATCACCCCAGCAGGAGGAGACGGAAGAGGTGGTGGGGGAAGATGTCAAGACAAAGAAGACAAAGAAGACAAAGAACAAGAACACCACCACCACCTTGGAAGTCCAGAAGGAGGACCACATTTAAGTGATGGCACATAATGTACGATCCTATGATTTACACTTGATCCTGAAGGGTCTGTCCCCCCTCCTGGTGAAACTCCCCACCCTGGGACGGTTGTGTTTCGAAGATTTCGAAAACTTAAATTTCATACCCTACCCACTGAAAGCATTTCCAAAGAGCTTTGGGCTGAAAGAACTGAAGAAAGGGTATTTTCCGCACTTTTTAAATACCGAAGTCAACCAGACCTACAGAGGTCCCTATCCACCAGGTGTCATGTACGATCCCGATGGCATGTCTCCCGCAGAACGCACAGTCTTCCTCCAGTGGCATACCCAAAAAGTGCAAGAAGGAGCCTTGTTTGACTTACAAGGAGAACTTTTAACCTACTGCCAGAGCGATGTGGACATTTTGAGACGAGGATGCGCTGACTTCCGACAGAACGTGATAAACTCGGTTCGCATGGATCCCTTTGTAGAAGTGATGACAGCAGCTGCGTTCAACATGAAATCCTTCCGAAAACACGACCTGAAACCCAGTACCATTGCCATTCTTCCGTCTCAAGGCTACCAACCCAAGAGAAACTATTCCCAAGCCTGAATGCACTGGCTCAATTATCTGATGGAAACGGACCCCCATCTGCACCTCCAGCACGCCAGGTGAAAAAGAGTTCATGTGTGGAGAGGGCAAACATCGGTACAATGTGGATGGCTACGATCCAGCGACAGGCACCATCTACGAATTCCTGGGCTGTTTCTGGCATGGGTGCAAGGCATGTCACAAGACTGAGCTTGGAGAACCTCATCCCGTCCTGGGCACGTCGTTGGGAGCCCGTTATACCGACACCCGCTACCGCCCGAGGCTCTTGAGTCAACACCCTGAGGTGACCTAAAAGAATGTCTCACACAACTCCGTGTGGGCATCACACCACGCCTAGTAAAAAGAAAACGGGACAGAAGCCCCTCAAGAAAACACTCTTCAAAGCGCCGACGACACCTTCAGTCCGAGGATGAGATGGTGGTAGAGGATGAAGAAGATAGATCATCTGAGCAAAGTGACTAACGCATGGGGGCATGCTGCTCCACTGTTTTTTCAAGTTTCCCATCGTTTCCAGTTTTTCCAGTGTTCCAGTGTTCCTACCGTTTCCTGCCGTTTCCGGTTTCCAGTTTGTTTTCCAACGGCCCTTTCCAGGGCCACCAATCTCTCCCGAAAGAACGCTTTCATCCTTTGCTTTGACGACTCTCAAACCCAAACAATGAACCCACCTCCTCCCTCCCTCCTCCTCCTCCCTCCTCAATCCACCACCACTGCCTTTTCTATATTAAGAACAACACTGTCGATCTTGTTCACCTTTTACGACCGCTTCTCTGGGTTTTTTCCCTTCCCTCCTCCTCCGCTGGAAACGGATGCGACGTCCTCTTGGAGGTGCGCACGCCACCGGAAACGGATGCGCCGCCCTCTTGGAGGCGCGCATCACCGGAAACGGCTGCGACGCCCTCTTGGAGGCGCACGCAACCGGAAACGGATGTGCAGCCCTCTTGGAGGTGCGCACGCCACCGGAAACGGATGCGACGCCATCTTGGATGCGCACGCCACCGGAAACGGATGTGCCGCCACCTTGGAAGCGCACGAAGGACCCATCATGCCCTGCGCGCATGCGCAGTCACGTGACCAAACCGAAACCGGAAGTGATGTCATCAGAGGTCACGTGGCCCTCTCGACCAATCAGAAGCCAGGAGCGGTCCTGTAGTACTGCACCCAACTAATAATGGCGTTTCTGTGGACGTTAAATTGTCTTGCAACATCACGTTGACTCGATCCTGCTTCAAGCATATGGCTCGTAGACGCATTTCGTAATGTTGAATAATTTCGTAATGTTGTTGTTTTTCTGAGTTGTTGTTGTCAGCACGATGCTAAACAATGCATATGGAGTCACGTTAACGCACATGTTTTTATACCCATTCTTGGGTAGTGAAATGCATGTGGCTTGCATAAAAGTCAACTTTTGCATGAACTGCATGCTTTTCTGTAGCAGTTGCGTTTTTGTGACTTGATTCCATACACGTACTACAATATTGAAAACCTAACTTTACTTTTTTTGAAAAATACACTACAATATTGGTGTCACGGGAACTTTTGTCATTGAGTATATTTCTAAATCCTCTGCAAATACACACAACCATACCTCATTCTTTAATAAGGACCCTAAACAAGCAAGGAAGACAAGAAAAAAAGCTGATTCCTGTTGACATTCTATTGTACACAATTCATAAATATATTGTAAATGCTAAGGCCCACCGTATACTAGTATATAAACAAGAGGACAAAGTCACCAGTGTCCCTCGCAACGGTAATTACTTGTGAATCAATTAATGAAACTTGAAAAAATCAGAAAACAAACAAAAAACACCAGGTATATGACGGCGGTCTGTAAATAAACGTGTTTGGACCAGACAACCCAGTGATTGACATCATGAGCATCGATCCACGCAATTTTGATACGATGACATACATCAACCAAGACAGCAAGCCTGATCACACGATCCCGTTTGTCGCCTCTTACGACCAGCATTGACACTTTTCACGGAAGGCATGTGGGAAATTGGTGCCTCTATTCTTTAAGGGGTTGACCCACAAGATATAGTGTCAAACGTTCCCTTGAACATACTTTTGACACATTCTGTCTATTTATGATTTAAATTGAAACTTCGAGAGTATTGAATTTATACTTCAAAACAATACTTACTACTTTTAAGGAAATATCTACAAACAGATTAAAGGGGCTGCAATGGGTTCGAAAATGGCACCAACATGTGTAACAT